CATGAAAGCTGGTTGGGCGACTTTGGGCCAATCAACAGGAGACAGTGAGTTCTAGTCCCACTTAGGCATGAAAGCCGGTTGGGCGACTTTGGGCCAATCAACAGGAGACAGTGAGTTCTAGTCCCGCCTTAGGCATGAAAACCGGTTGGGTGACTTTGGCCCAATCACCAGGAGACGGAGAGTTCTAGTCCCACCTTATCCATGAAAGCTGGCTGGGTGACTTTCGGCCAGTCACCCTTTCTCAGCTCAACCCACCTCACAGGGTTGTTGTGAGGAAAATAAGGGGAGGAAGGTCTGTTGGATAGGTTTCCCCGCCTTGAGTTATTTGTGTAAAAAAAAAAAGAAGAAGAAAGAAAGAAAATGACGGCGGAGTATAAACAAATAAACAAATAAACCTTAAGCCAAGGGCTCCAACTTTGGGGGTTAAATATTTGGTGATCGTTTGGAGAAAGCCAGCCAAAAAAATCACAGGCATGGCAACAGGTTTCCTGTGTAAACCGAACCCCAGCCTTGCCAGTTTTTTCCGCTGCGGAGCGTCAAAGGAGAAACGGCAAGGAAACCAGGAAGAGGCCCAAGAAAAGAAAAGCCCCGTTTCTTGGGAAATGTGGCTGCAGAAGTTAGTTTGGGTGGCATCGAAAACATGGCACACGCAGGACCGGGAGAGCGGAGGAAGAAATAATGTGGAGCGCTGGCAACCGATAGAACCAGGTTGCCAAGTCCCAGTTGCTCGATTAATGCCAAAGGGCTGATGGGGAATTAGGGGCGGGGGGGGAAGGTAGCTAAGCAACCACAGAAAAGATGGCAACTTACTCCCTACCCCCCCCTTTGACCCACTGCTGTTTGGAAGGAACATTTAAATCCCATCTTTTGCCCAAAATGCTCAGCGCAGAAGCAGATCCCGTGAAAGTAGGCAGGATGCAAAGACAGGGATTGATCCGACTGCAAATCCAGATGTTCGCAGCCATGTTTCCTTAAGGTGTTTCCCATCCATAGAATGAAGAAGAAATTTCCTGGCAGTGAGAACAATTAACCAGTGGAACAAGTTGCCACCAGAAGAAGTTGTGGGTGATCCATCACTGGAGGTTTTTAAGAAGACGTTGGATAACCATTTGTCTGAAGTGGGTGTAGGGTTTCCTGCCTAAGCAGGGGCTTGTTTTCTTGCAGATGTTTCCTTACCCAACTAGGTAACATCATCAGTGCTAGAAGGGAGTGGGGTTTGTGGAGTGGAGGAGGGAGGAGGGAGGAGGAGGGAAGAGGAAGAAGAGGAGGAGGAGGAGGACTGTGGGGTCCTTGGTGCTATCTGAGCTTGCTTGTTTTCTTGCAGCAGACATTTCCTTACCCAACTAGGTAACATCATCAGTGTTAGAAGGAAGTGGGGTTTGTGGAGTGGAGGATGGAGATGGAGGAGGAAGAGAAGGAGGAGAGGAGGAGGAGGAAGAGGAGAACTGCAGGGTCCTTGATGCTCTCTGAGCTTGCTTCATTTCTTGCAGACGCTTCTAGCCAGCACTGATGACGTAACCTAGTTCGGGTAATGAAACGTCTACAGGAAAACAAGCCAGCTCAGACAGCACCAAGGACCCCTCGTACTGACCTATATAGGCGACTCCCTAAATTGCAGAAATCCATCTAGAAAAAAAATAAACTTTGTAAAAGTGGTAATCAGAGCAAGGAAGATTTCTAACCTCCCCCCACCCCCTTCTCTTTCTCTCTCTCTCTCTCTCTCTTTTAACCTTCCCATTAGCTCTTAATTCTGGATTTTCCACTGATCGGTGGCCACCTCCAGCTTAGTTGCTCGAGCCGAGTGGCTTTTCCCGGCCCAGCACCCTGCTGTTGGTTGATTGGATTAATAATATGAACAGCGGTAGTCAGCAGACAGCGAAGGCTCTGGGCTGTCCAAATTGTCCTTGAGCCTCCTCGGTAAATTACTTGGTGACCCAGGATTTCGGCAGGGAGCTACTATAACTCAAGCTGCTCGGTTTATTGAACTGCTGTCTCTCTCTCTCTCAGCCTCCCACATATTGATTTCTCAGGACGTCAAGAGTCTGATTTTTGGTCTTTTTGCAAAACGAGAAGCTTGGCCCCGATTTCCGAATCAAGAAGCCAGTTCGAGTTGGTTGTTCTGGACAGGACTCTGCTGTTCCATGGGTTGATTGTTCTCACTGTCAGAAGAGTTCTCGTTTCCAGATTGAATCTCTCATTTTAACAGATTAACAGAGTTGGAAGGGACCTTATAGGTCATCTAGTCCAACCCCCAACTCAAGCAGGAAACCCTACACCATTTCTGACAAATGGCAGTCCAATCTTTTCTGGAAAGTCTCAAGTGATGAAGCTCCCACAACTTCTGTTCCATCGGTTGATTGTTCTGTCAGAAAATTTCTCCTTATTTCCAGATGGAATCTCTCCTTGGTCAGTTTCCATCCATTATTCCTTGTCTGGCCTTCAGGTGCTTTGGAAAATAGCTTGACCCCCTTCCTCCTCTCTGTGGCACCCCCTCAAATATTGGAAGGCTGCTATCCTGTCTCCCCTGGTCCTTCTCTTCACTAGACTAGCCATGCCCAGTTCCTGCAACCGTTCATCATTATGTTTTAGCCTCGTCTCCTAATCATCTTTCTTGCTCTTCTCTGCACTCTTTCTAGAGTCTCAACATCTTTTTAATAGTGTGGTCACCAAAATTGGATGCAGTATTCTAAGGCTGGTCTTACTAAGGCTTTATAGAGTGGTATTAGTACCTCACTGGATCTTGATTGTATCGCTCTGTTAATGCAATTTAGGATTGCATTGGCTTTTTTGACTGCTGCTGCACACTTCTGGCTCATATTTAGCTGGTTGTCCACTAAGATTCCAAGATCCTTCTCCCAGTTACTGCTATTAAGCCTGGTTTCACCCAGTCTATATGTGTACTTTTGGCTTTTCTTGCCTAAATGTAGGACTTTACTTTTCTCTACATTGAATTTCATTTTGTTAAGATAGGGCCCACTGTTCAGATCTGTCAAGATCCATGCTGTTTAACGCAGGCATGATCCTCGACTTACGTTGACTAATGAGCCCAGAATTGATGCTGCTAAGTGAGAGAGTTGTTGAGTGAGTCTTGCCCCGGTTTACGACTGTTCTCGCCACATTTGTTAAGCCAATCGTTGCAAGTTGTTCAATTCGTCGCATGGTGGCTAAGTGGATCTGGCTTCCCCGTTGACTTTGATGGTCAGAAGGTCGCAAAAGGGGATTGTGTGACCGCGGGACACTGCAACCGTCATAATAGGAACTGCCAAGCCTTCGAATGTAAATCTCCGAAGCTGCAACGGTCATAAGTGTGAAAAATGGTCAAGAGTCACTTTTTTCAGTGCCACTACTTCGGCACAAGTAACTTCGAAGTTACTTGTAACTTTGAATGGTCACTAAACGAACTGTTGTAAGTCAAGGACGGCCTGTATTTATTTATTTCTGTCCCACCTTTGGATGGAAACTAATCAAGGAGAGAAGCGACCTGGAATTGAGGGGAAACTTCCTAACAATGAGGACAATTAGCTAGTGGAACAGCTTGCCACCAGAAGTTGTGAGTGCTCCAACACTGGAGGTTTTTAAGAAGAAACTGGACAGTCACGTGGTATAGGTATAGGGCCGCCTGCTTGAGCAGGGGGTTGGGCTAGAAGACCTCCAAGGTCCCTTCCAGCTCTATTCTGATTGATTGAAGACAAAAGCACTGTGAAGTGGTATATAAGTCTAAGTGCTATTGCCTTTTTTGTCTCAACTTTCCCCAAAGTGCTTTTTTTCCCCCAAAAGGAAACTGGATTTTCTTACTTTTATCTTGGAAAATGCTTCGCTTCTCATGCCAGAAGCTTCTTTAGTTCTGACTCAACTACAGGGTAGTCCTCGACTTACAATCACAATCGAGCCCAAAATTTCTGTTTGTTTGTTTATTTGTTTATTTATTTATTTATTTATTTATTTATTTATTTATTGGTTCGATTTATATGCCACCCTTCTCCAGAGACTCAGGGCGGCTTACAATGTGTTAAGCAATAGCCTTCATACTTTTGTATATACCTGCTTAGTAGGGCTTTTGGCCCGCCCAAGCAGTGTTCTTTTTTATACAAAGTCAGTTTATTGCCCCCACAATCCGGGTCCTCATTTTACCTACCTCGGAAGGATGGAAGGCTGAGTCATCCTTGAGCCTGGTGAGATTCGAACTTCCAGTAATTGCAGGCAGCTGGTGTCACTTAACACCACTTTAATCTGCTGCGTCACCAAGGCTCTTTAGCTGTTGGCTAAGCAAGACATTTGTTAAGTGGGATTTGCCCCACTTTACGCCCTTCCTTGCTGCCGTTGTTAAGCGAATCGCTGTGGTTGTTATAAGTTAGTCACACGGTTTTTAAGTGAATCTGGCTTCCCCCATCGATTTGGCTTAACAGAAGCTGGCAAAAGGTGATGATGTGAACTTAAGACACCGCAACCGTCATAAATGTGAGTCAGTGGCCAAGCGTCCGAATTTTGATCACGTGACCAAACGACGCTGCGAGTGAGAAAAAACGGCCGTAAGTCACTTTTTTTTTCATGGCCGTTTGTCACTCCGAACGGTCGCTAAACGAAACCGTTGTAAATCGAAGATACTACCTGTTATTTGGATTTAAAAGTATTTCCACCCCGCCTCGAGTTCTGTGGAGAGATTTTATTGGAAAGAAGAAAGATATTTCAAATCCCCTCGAGCGACTGGCTGCCTTCCTCCGAAGACGAAGCGTTTAAAAGAAAGAGCAACCGTTGTGCAGCCATCTTAAAAGATTTAAGCTGATACATTCAGCTATTCTAACAGATTTTCTCTAAGCCTTCCATCCACGCCCCCCTCCTCACATTCAGCCCGATAATCACATTACTTTTGTCATTAAAAGGTCTCCCTTCCTCTTTATGGCAGAGGCCTAAACTCCCAATGGGGTTCCACAGATTAGGAAAAAACAAGGCCCAACGGAAGGAATTTGGTGCCTCAAATCTCCCCCTTTTCCAAAATAAAATAAAATAAATAAATAATTTTATTTCTATACCGCCCTTCTCCCGAAGGACTCAGGGCGGTGTACAGCCTATTAAAAACACAAAGACAGACATCAGTTAAAAATTAATTAAAATTATTACATAATTTCGGCTCAGATTTAAAACCCCAAAAATTTAAAACACCCAATTTAAAAATCATTCATCCAAGTCCTTCTAAACTCTGAAAATCGTGCTCTTTTTTTTAAAAAAAGTTTTTTTTTCTTCGAGCAAAAAATTGGAGACCCATCTAGAATAACTCGTTACGGTGTCTTAAATCGGAAAAACTTCTTCTTTTTTTTTTTTTAAAGGAAATAAATTACATTTTATTCCCAAAGTCGGGATGTTTTCTTAAATACAATACTGCCCCCTTAAGTCCATGTTATAAATAGAATTTCACATTGTTTTTCTTTTTTTCAGAAAGAAGGCACAGGTAGTCCTCAATTTACAACAGAAGATGATAACCTGTTTCCCTGAAAATAAGACATCCCCTGATAATAAGCCCAATTGGGCCTTTGAGCGCATGCACTAAAATAAGCCTCCCCCAAAAAATAAGCCCTCCCTGAAAATATTTAAACGCAGAGCTGGAAATCAGGTAAGACGGCAAGAGGAGCCCCATCTTGCTCCACGCGCCCCAAAATAATAAGACCTCCCCGAAAATAAGGCCAAGCGCTTATTTCGGGGTTCAAAAAAATATAAGACAGGATCTTATTTTCGGGGAAACACAGTACAACAACATATTGATTTGAAACCCGAAATATTTTTGTTGGGGATTTTACCAGAAACTTACAGTAAAGACAATGTGTATTTGATTATCCATGTAATAACTGCAGCTAGAATTGTATTTGCACAAAATTGGAAAAGTGAAGAGATTCCTACGGATGAGAATGCGATTAGGAAAATATTAGAGTGTGCAGAAATGAATAGGTCAACTCTTGCAATCAGAGAAGGAACAAACTGACTATTTGCAGGACCATCTCCTACCCGCCTCCCACCATCACAGACACATCTTGTTTAGCATCATCCTTGTAAAAGTCTGTAGCGATTCTCCATCATATCCAGGTCATGTTTATCCCAAAGGTGCTTTTTCAGGAGGCAACTGGACTTTCTGTTTTTCCTTGAAGACATTTCGCTACTCATCCAAGAAGCTTCTTCAGCTCTGAGTAGATAGTGGGGAATTGTTGTGGCCTGTCAGCGGCCTGTGCAGTTAGTAGCTGATTCCGACAGCGAGGAGGCTGGTGTGGTGCTGCACCAGCAGCCTGTGCAGCTGGCACTCGAGTCGGACAATGAGGAGGCTGGAGAAGATGTGGTGCCAGAGGCGGGGATTCAGCCAGGGCCTTCAGAACCTCCAGAAGCTCCCTTAAGTAAAGAGGATGAAGAGGAGGAGCCTCTTCTTGATGCACGGGCGTGCAGAGCTGCCAAAAGGCAGGAGTGGCTCCTCAGGAGGAGATCTCCTCGAGAGTAAGGCTTGGGGCTAATTGGCCACTCCCCTAGCCTATTTAAGGAAGGACGACAACTGATGCAATTTGCAGGAAACAACTTCGTTCACATTCCTTTCGCGTCTTGATTCCAGAAACGTTTGATTCGGCTCTTGTTTCTCTCGTCAGTTTTCCTGCAAATTGCTTCTGGGCATTCTGCCAAGCACAGTAAGATTACGGTTATTTGAAATACCGTGCCTCAGAATTGAGTTATTATTCTTTGGATTCTTGTCGGCTGTTAATGAAGTTAAATTAACAGCCCTTGTTCAGAAAAGACTGGTTTAAACTGTACTTGTGTTCGAACAACTACTAAGAAAGCTCATTAGTAGTCCTTAATTACTAAAGCAAGGTTTGTGCGGACTTTGTGTGTGCTGCATTCTTTGGGGTCCGTAGCTGGGGCAGAACAGGAATGGAAGGATTTATATTCCTTGCAGACAGCTGGTCATTTGCATCCTTTTAGAGGGTTGTTGAGGCCACTCGGATGTTTATCTGTGTCCTCAGGGTCACCTGAGTGGTGCAAATGGTTCCGGTAGTCTGCATTTCCCCCTACCCCTGGAAATCCGTTGTTTTAAGCTATGCAATTTGGGATGAAACCCCTTCAAATGGTGTGGAAGTATGAACCAGGGGTGAAATCCAGCAGGTTCTGACAGGTTCTGGAGAACCGGTAGTGGAAATTTTGAGTACTTCGGAGAACCGGCAAATACCACCTCTGGCTGGCCCCAGAGTGGGGTGGGAATGGGGATTTTGCAGTATCCTTCCCCTGGGGTGGGATGGGAATGGGGATTTTGCAGTTTCCTTCCCCTGGAGTGGGGTGGGAATAGAGATTTTACAGTGTCCTTCCTCTGCCACCCCCACCAAGCACCCCCACCATACCATACCACACCACGCCCACTGAGCCACGCCCACAGAACCGGTAGTAAAATAATTTGGATTTCAACACTGGTATGAACGGATTTCCAGAAAAGATTGCAGACTACAGGAACCATTAGCATTTCGCAGGTGAACCTCCAAGTGGCCTCAACGACTCTCTAAAAGGATGCAAATGACCAGCTGTCTGCAAGGAGTATCAATCCTTCCATTCCCCACCATCCACTCAGAGCTGAAGAAGCTTCCTGGATGAGAAGCGAAACGTCTTCAAAGAAAAAAAAAACAAGAGAGTCCAGTTGCCTCCTGAAAAAAAGCACCTTTGGGATCATACTTGCAACCAAACAACACGCAGAGACACAAGTCTTCTGCTCAGTGGTGAAATGTAAAATTTGTTACTACCGGTTCTGTGGGCGTGGCTTGGGAGGATAATATGACTGAGGGGACGTGGCCAACTTTTTTTTTTTTTTTTACTTTTAAAACCATTTTTTCTACAACCTCTTCTGCTGAAGAAGTTGTAAAAAAAAATGCTTTTAAAAGCCTCTGATGATCCCAGCTGAGTTGCCTGATCGGCAGAGGCTTTTTTCTTTTTTAAAGCCTCTGACGATTCCAGCTGACTTGCCTGATCGGCAGAGGCTTTCTTTTTATTAAAAAAAAAACATTTTTTCTATAACTTCTTCGGCCGAAGAGGTTGTAGAAAAAATGCTTTTAAAAGCCTCTGATGATCCCAGCTGAGCCGTGCGATCATCAGAGGCTTTTTTTTTTTTTACTTTTAAAAGCATGTTTTCGGCCAAAGGTTGGAGAAAAAATGCTTTTAAAAATAATAAAAAAAAGCCTCTGATGATTGCGCGGCTCAGCTGGGCATGGAGAGGGGGGCAGGGATTTTTGCTACCGGTTCCCCGAACCACCCGCCTCCATCGCTACCGGATCGGGCGATCCGATCCGAACCGGGAGCATTTCACCCCTGCTTCTGCTGTAATAGTGCTTCCTGGTGACTAGATTTCAAAGTAAACAGCCAAAATCAAGAGCGGGATCTATTCAAGTAGAGCGCCTTCCAGCCAATGGCAAGGAACAGCAAAATATTACCTCAAGTATTTTGAGGGCAAAGGTTCCTTCACAAATTTGTCTATTCTTCCTTTAAAGTCGCCTCCTAAATTATCAGCCGCCCTGCCACCTGTTGGTCCCCTGAATTCCTTAAATTAAGACAATACAAGTAGTCCTCGACTTACAACAGGCCATGGAGTGACGGTTCGAAGTTACAACGGCCCGGCCAAAAAAAAAATGACCCATGACCGTTTTTCACACTTACGACGGTTGCAGCATCCCCATGGTCACGGGATTAAAATCCGGATGCTTGGCAGCTGACTCACATTTATGACGGCCACAGGGTCACGTGATCCGCTTCCGTGACCTTCCGACGAGCAAAGTCAACGGGGGGGAAGCCAGACGCACTTCACAACCGTGTTATCAGTTTCACAAGTGCAGTGATTCACTTAAGAAATCTTTTAAGGACCCCGTAATCCCTTGCGGGATGGAGTCTGGGCAACTGAACGGAGCGGAGTGTTTACTGGCCGGATGCCCTTCCTGTTGCCAGTGGGGAGTTACATTCAGCAGATATATTCTCATCGTGCCCGGAGAGAGAAATATCTGCCTCTGCCTAGGATCGTACTCACAGCCTCCTGATTGTGAGGCGAGAGCACCACCTCTAGGCCACCGGACCACTCTATGATTCGCTTAAGAAACGTGGCGGAAAAAGTTGTAAAACGGGGCAAAACTCGCTCAACGAATTTCTCACTGAGCAAGATAAATTTAGGGCTCCGTGGTGCTTCGTAAGTCGAGGACTACCTGTAGAGAGTCCAGCTCCCTGTACAGCTAAGTAAGTGGGGCAGGCAAAGGGGATTAAGAAGCATTCTCCTTTCCCACTTGTGGGTCCTATAGCTCAGTGAAGAACAGGAAGAAATCGTCTTGGCTTCCTGTAAAGAGAGACATGGATGGGACGTCACTAACCGAAGGTGAGCCATGTCGATTCCAGCTTGTCTCAAACAGACATCTTGATGACGAATCAGGAGAAGTTAAAGAATGCTCAGAAAAAGCAAGACGAAGAAGAGACAATCCAGAAAGGAGACAATCAACCAAAGGATAACCGTTGCTACACAAACCCCCAACTACTATCCAGTTACTTTGGGCATTTTTTAACCCTCTTGTGCTTCTGTAACCACAACTTCATGTAGTGGACTTCCAAGAGGCGAGCCTGCCGGACGGAGCTTGGGTCAGAGGGGTTCTTGGCACGCAGATCCAGGTGATGAGCTCCTTCCGGGATCATGATGGCCACAAGAGTATCCGTGATGTTCTTTGTCACGCCACCTCCATACCAGGGATCGAGCCCTCCGTTGCTGGCAGAGAATGGAGAAGACAGGTGTGAATGGCATATGTGGGCATCAAGGAGAATGCTGTTGTGACTCCGACCCCTGAGGCTGACTTATCGGAGGGAGAAGGCTCCGAACATGAAGGAGAGGAATTGGCCAGGCCTCCCTCTCCAGGACCCTCCTCTCTGGCAATGCCTCAGGTGTCTCCCGAAGGAGAAGAGATTGGCCAGGAGCCAGGTATCTCCTCGCAGTCAGACAGTGACGGAGATAAGTCTTGGCTGGATCCACGCCAGCGTCAGAGAGACAGGTGCACGCAGCAGAAAAGGAGGCGTGCCAGAGATTAAGCTGAGTCACTGGACCACACCCCACAAGGGATAAAAGGGGGTGAGGTGGCCATTCAGGCTCTGTGACGGACAAAACTAAACAACTAGCGAGTCACATTGTATCTTTGAAACAACGTTATCTGACTTGGATTTAATACGGACTGGACTTAACAATTCTTGAACTGTGTGTATCTTGTTTGGGTTTATCTGTCGGAGGAATAACTCCTCCCTCTATGAGTAAAGTTCTTGGCAAGCAGCTACTGGGTTGCTGCCAATCCTCTTTATCGAAAGAATTTGTTGTCTGCCAGTTTTATTTAACCCCTGGCTATCTGTTTGTGTGCGTGTGTGAGACGGGGACAGAACAAATGCAGAGAAACAGTAACCGCACAATAATTTCATCTCAGGTCACGATTTGGGTTGGATCTCTGGGGGCATCTCTCTCATCAAGCATCTTGAATTGTGACATCAAGGATCAGAAGACAGTTTCTTCTGTACCCATCCCGGTACCTGATTATTTTTCTTTATTTATATCCCATCTTTTTTATTTTTATAAAATTACTCAAGTAGGCAAACATACTTAGGGCAGGCGCAGTGGTTAGAACGCGGTACTGCAGGCTAACTCTGCCGACTGCCAGCAGTTCGATCCTGACTGGGCTTCAAGGTTGACTCAGCCTTCCATCTTTCCAAGGTCGGTAAAATGAGAACCCGGATTTTGGGGGGCAATATGCAAATAATGCTACGGTGTTTCCCTGAAAATAAGCCCTCCTCCGAAAATAAAACCTCCCCTGAAAATAAGCCCTCCCCCCAAAATAAGCCCTCCCCGAAAATATTTAAATGCATGCGTAGCTGGTCCCTGCTTCCCCTTTTTTGGATTCTGGGGCTCAACTGTCCTACCCAGGATGAGGTCCCGCCTCCCCACCTCTCTTTCCTGGTGGTCTCCCATCCCCGCTCAAACGAGGGGCCTGGTGGCTCTGCAGTCTAAAAGCATTGTGATTAACACCAGCTGCCTGCAATTAAAGTAAGTTCGAATCTCGCCAAGGCTCAAGGTTGACTCAGCCTTCCATCCTTTCTAAGGTAGGTAAAATTGAGGACCCAGTTTGTGGGGGCAATAAGCTGACTTTGTATAAATATACAAAAGTATAAAGCTATTGCTTAACGCACTGTAAGCCACCCTGAGTCTCCGGAGAAGGGCGGCATATAAATCAAATTTTTAAAAAAACCGTCTCTGCTCATCTTCACTGTTTTGGGATCCTCCGTCAAGCCGGTTAGGGTTAGGGAGACAGAGCTGGAAATCGGGTAAGATGGCAAGAGGAACCCCGTCCTGCTCATGCGCCCCAAAATAATAAGACCTCCCCAAAAATAAGGCCAAGCCTTGATAGTACAGTGGTTTAGTGCACCCTGTTATTAACACAGCTGCCTGCAATTTCTGCTGGTTCGAATCTCTCCAAGGCTCAAGGTTGACTCAGCCTTCCATCCTTTCTAAGGTAGGTGAAATGAGGACCAGTTTGTGGGGCAATAAGCTGACTTTGTATAAAATATACAAAAGAATGAAGGCTATTGCTTAACGCATTGTAAGCCGCCCTGAGTCTCCGGAGAAGGGCGCATATAAATCAAATTTAAAAAAAAAAAAAAAGTGTTTATTTCAGGGTTCAAAAAAATATAAGACAGGGTCTTATTTTCAGGAAAACACGGTACTACATTGTAAACTGCCCAGAGAGTGCTGTAAAGCACTATGGGACAGTACAGTATATAAAGGGAACTGTGGTGGCGCAGTGGTTAGAATTATAGCCTAATTCTGCCCGCAGCCAGGAGTTCGATCCTGACCTGCTGAAGGTTGTCTCAGCCATCCAATCCTTCCGAGGTCAAAAAAATGAGGACCCAGATTGTTGGGGCCAATAGGTTGACTCTGTAAACCGCTTAGAGTGGGCTGTAAAGCGATATATAAGTCTAAATGCTACTGCTATTGGTTATTGATACAACACAAACTCACCTGAAAATGATGTTACTGTGAGCGCTTATGTTTTTCCCACCGTAAATGGTGGGAATCAAGGAAGGGCGTGGCCGTACCCCCCAGGCTTTGAAACAGCTCTCCGAGTAAGAATGGAAGTCCCATTTCTGTGGCTCAAACATATCATTGATACCATCTGAACACATGGGCATCACCATCTCAGTGCAAGCCTTGGAGACGAGAAAGGAAATAGGAGAGTTTCATCTGATAAGATCTCCTGGCTTGGAATAGCTCTGTCAGAGAGACTGACCTTCATAGGTGAATCCCTAAAAATGCGAACTCTTAAAGATTTTTGTATTGTTTATTAAATTTCTAGGCTGCCATCTGACTAATACAGCAACCACGGGTAGGCTTACAATGCAGGTAGTCCTCTACTTAGAACAGTTCATTTAGTGACCGTTCAAAGTTATGACGTCACTTGAAAAAAAAGGGAGTTACTGTTCTGCCCCAGCTACGGACCCCAAAGAACGCAGCACAAAGTCCGTTCAAACCCTAGTGTACTGAATAAACCAGTCTTTTACAACAACGGCTGTTAATTAATAGCATCAACAGCCGCCAAGAATTCAAAGAATAATAACTGAAAGCTTACTGTGGTTGGCAGAATGCCCAGAAGCAATTTGCAGGAAGCTGATAAGATAAGCAAGACAAGACACGAAGGTATGTGAACGAAGTTGTTCCCTGCAAATTGCTTCAGTCGGCGTTCCTCCTTAAATAAGCTAAGGGAGTGGCCAATTAGCTCCAAGCCTTATTCTCGAGGAGACCTCCTCCTGAGGAGCCACTCCTGCCTTTTGGCAGCTCTACACGCCCGTGCATTGAGAAGAGGCTCCTCCTCTTCGTCCTCTTCACTTAAGGGAGCTTCTGGAGGTTCTGAAGGCCCTGGCTGAATCCCTGCCTCTGGCACCACATCTTCTCCAGCCTCCTCATTGTCTGACTCAAGTGCCAGCTGCACAGGCCGTGTACGGGCCACAACAGTTACAACCGTTTTTCACACTTACAGCATTCCCACCAGAGTTAGTATTAAGCCGGTTCGGGCAAACAGGTAGCAGCGACTGCGGGTGGATCCGCCCACCCACCGGGACATAATGCCGTCCTCTTTAGCCACGTTTTCGAGGCCGGGCGCATGCGCGGAAGGCACACGCGGCAAACCGGTGGCAACAATGTGTGAAATCCACCCGATCCCCACGGTCACGTGATCCAAATTCAGACACTTGGCAATCTGGTACGTATTTATGACAGTTGCAGTGTCCGGGGGGGGAGCCGGGGGGGTGTCTCGTGACCACACCCTCTTTTTTTTTTTTTTGCAACTTTCTGACCCAGCAAAGTCAATGGGGAAATCAGACTCACTCCACCACCGTGTGACTGATTTATCAACCGCAGTGATGCACTTCCCAACTGGGCCAAGAAAAGTCGCAAAAACGGGGCAAAATTCACTTGACAAATGTTTCCCTCAGCGACAGAAATTTTGGGCTCAACTGTGGTTGTACGTTGAGGACTACCTGTATTGTAAGTTAATGAAACGTTTAAAAAGCGCTAAAAAGATTAGAACAAAAAGCTACAAATTGAAAAAATGACTACAGTAGCGGCCAAAATTGTGGAAACCTTTTGGGAAAAGTGTATTTTTGAGGTTTGATGGCTAATAACACCACTTTTTTCAGGGGAGATTCAAGATAATCCTATTCCACTGCTGGAATGGCCTGGGAATAGTCCAGACCTTCACCCAATGGAAAATCTACGGAGCCGACTAAAGAAACTTGTTAGTCAGAAGCGACTCAGCAATAAAACCCAGTTAATAGAAGCCATAATTCCATCTTGGTTTCACATTAGAACAGCTGCAGAACTCAAAGGCTTGGTTCACACCATGGGAAGATGTTGTAAGGCCGTAATTCATGCTAAAGGTTACCCAATGAAGTATTCACTGACATGGTGATCATTTTTGTATATCTCGTTTTTTCTATGGTGATAATTTCTGTATATCTCATTTTTTCTACTTTTTCCCTTTTCTTCTTTATACTGTAACTGCTATTCTAATAGCAAATCCTTTATAAAAGTTATTGCATTACATTCTTGGTTAAATTATCTTTCCATTGATATATAATTTTATGGTACTACTGTGGTGTTATTAGCTAGTTTTAGAAAATACACTTTTCCCAAAAGATTTCCACAATTTTGGCCACTACTGTATGACTTTTACATTGGAAAAAGGGGTGCCTTACATCACAATTGCCATTTCACCCACCCCTCCCATTATTGCTACGATGATTACGGGGTACACACCCACCTGATAAGACCAGCCCTTGAGGCCCAGACTTTTAGTAGCAGTCCGAGTTAAGTTCAAGCAGGATGCATGTCCAGTATAATTGTAGTAGATGTTTACAGCCCGGAAAATATTCTGCAGCAACAACCTGTCTGGCTGTTTGGGGTTTTTCAGGTATTTGCAGATAACCTAGAGGGGAAAAAAAAAAAAGCAATAGAGAAGAATTGAGTCTCCCCAAATTAGGAGAGAGTTACACAATCCAATCCCGCGCAGAGAAGCTTATTCTTGGCACATCTGCAAAGCACAGGCAGTCCTCGACTTATGACCGCAATGGAGCCCAACATTTCCGTTGTTAAGCGAGACATTTGTTAAAGAGTTTTACGACCTTTCTTGCCCTCGGTTGTTAAGTGAATCATTGCAGTTGATAAGTGGTGCAATAGGACTGGGTGTTTTGTTAATATGATTTATTGGGTTAGGGATTTTCTGTCTTCACTGTATTATTTTGGGAGGGGGGTTGCACTGAGGGAGCTCAACCAATCTCATTGTACATATAGAACCTGTAGTACAGTGGACTAATGCACTGTTATTAACATCTGCTGCTTGCAATTACTGCAAGTTCAAATCCCACCAGGCTTAAGGTTGACTCAGCCTTCCATCCTTTCAAAGGTAGGTGAAATGAGGACCCAGTTTGTGGGGGCAATAAGATGACTTTGTATAAATATACAAAAGTATGAAGACTATTGCTTAACGCATTTAAGCCGCCCTGAGTCTCCGGAGAAGGGCGGCATATAAATTAAAGCAAAAAAAAAAAAAAATGTTGTGCACTGACAATAAAGATTTGAATTGAATTGTTAGCAACACAGTTGTTAAGTGAATCTGGCCTCCCCAGGGACTTTTGCTTGTCAGAAAGTTGCAAAAGGGGATCCCGTCACCCCGGGACACAGCAACGGTCATAAATATGAAACAGTTGCCAAGCATCTGAATTTTGATCACGTGATGATGATGATGATGGGGATGGGCTCTCTCTTTGATAAGTTTCCATCTCTTATTTCTTCTCCTGCCCTCAGGTGCCTTGGAGAATAGGTTGACTCCCTCTTCTCTGTGTCAGCCCCTCAAAAACTGGAAGACAGTTATCCTGTTCCTCCTAACCCTTCTCTTTGAGATACCTAGCTCCCTCAACCGTTCATTGTCCCGAAGGTGCTTTTTCCAGGAGGCAACTGGACTTCCTTGTTTTTCTTTGAAGAGGTTTCGTTTCTCATCCAAGAAGCTTCTTCAGCTCTGACTGGATGGTGGGGAATGGAAGGATTGATATTCCTTGCAGACAGCTGGTCATTTGCATCCTTTTCGAGAGCCATTGAGGCCACTTGGAGGTTTGTCTGTGTCCTTGGGGTCACCTGAGTAGTGCAAACGGGTGTGGAGCCTTCTTGGAACTGCTGAAAAGACTGTGTTGCAAACCCCGAGGGTGCAGACAAACCTCCAAGCGGCCTCAACGACTCTCTAAAAGAATGCAAATGACCAGTATCCAGTCCTTTTCAAGTATATATAGTATCACATACCCTGGTTATAATCATACATTAATCATACATTATAGTCTCGGGGTAGGCTACTGGGGGTTCGGGAAAATCTCTAACTAAAATTCTGTGCCGTTCAGAGAACCGCCAAATCCCACTCCTGGCTGGCCCCGTTCACCCCACCCTGCCCCTCCCAGGAGTCCCCACATGGCCCGTTTCGGATGCAGGTAAGTGCAGGGCATGCGCGGAGGCTCGGGGAGGGTGAAAAACGGGCCTACCTGAAGTTCAGAAAGGCCAGAAATGGGCCCATTTCCGGCCTCAAGAGGGCCTTCGGAGCCTGGGGAGGCTGTTTTTGCCCTCCCGGAGGCTCGAGAAAGGCCTCCGGAGCCCAAGGAGGACAAAAACACCCCTCCTCGCCGTAGTGCAGGAGGCTGACTAGGCCACGCCCACCCAGCAACTGGGCAGAGAACATCTTGCTAAAATTTTCGAAGCCCACCCCTCTATAATAGTCTCTTTTAAATGCATAATGTTGTATATCATAGATACAACCATTATTCTCATAATTATACCATAACCTTCTATGTATTTATCATTCTATACATTTTAATCTATAGTCATGTACAGTCCAATATTAATATTTCTTACAATATATATTCTTATATATATATCTATATAAGTCTTATTTCTATTTTGTTAATCTTCTTTCATTATTAAATAACTAATCTCTGCACCTGTTATCTAACCATTTGTACAATAAATTGAGTAATACTCTGGATTTTCTTAAATTCCATCATTAATCTGTCCAATTCAGCACATTCTAGTATTTCCTTTATTACCTTTTCATCTATAGGGATCCTTTCATTTTCCCCCAATTTTGTGCATATGAGATTCTAACTGCTGTTATTACATGTAACATTGAGTAAGTGATTCTGTTATTATATTTCCCCGGTAGTATGCCTAATAAAAATAGTCCTGGTTTTAGATCTAATCTCTTCTAACCACCTTTTTATCTTTGACCAATATTTTTTGGCCATTGGACAGGCCCATGGAAGTGGGGGGGAGGTTCAGCTGTCTGGAATCCGCACTGCATATCAGACATTAACACAATAGAGTGAGTCCAGAGATAATTTCACGAGAAGAGTCCTCCACTCCTCCACTCACAGCAGAATACCTTATGCCACCAGACTTGAAATTTTGGGATTAGACAATTTAGAACTACGTCACCTTCGGTCTGACCTAAGCATAGTACACAAAATTATCTGCTATGACGTCTTACCTGTCAATGACTACTTCAGCTTCAACCGCAACAATACATGAGCACACAATAGATACAAACTCAAGGTAAACCGCTCCAAACTCGATTGCAGAAAATATGACTCCAGTAACAGAGTGGTCAATGCCTGGAATGCATTACTTGACTCTGTGGTTTTTTCCCCAAATCCCCAAAACTTTAACCTTAGACTGTCTACTGTTGACCTCACCCCATTCCTAAGAGGTCTGTAAAGGGTGTGCATAAGCGCACCAGCGTGCCTACCGCCCCTGTCCTACTGTCCCCATGTATTCGTATCCTTATCCTGTATTCATAATCATGCTTATACCAGTAGTGGGATTCAACTCCCGTCGCTACCGGTTTGCTCGTAGGCACGCAGGCGCTCGCGCTCGACATTTCTGCGCATGCACAGTGTTGTCCGGGCGGGTGGGTGGAGACTCCCGCCGCCGCCACTACCAGTTCACCCGATCTGGTAGTGGCGGCGACATATACTGTAAACCACTGGTTTACAGTATATGTCAACTTGCAAAGCTTTCAAGTTGCCATGAGCAGGAGGGAGGGAGAACTGAAGTGAATTCCATACATTCTTTCTGACCGCAATCAGAAGGAGGGTGTTAGGTTTCACAGCCAGCCAAAGTGGTTAATTGGAGAATGTGATGTATGACATGGCCAGAGAGGAGGGGAGAGACAGGGTCATAGGGGAACGTAAATCTATGTAGGATCAGTCCTAACTGCATCCAAGTATTGCTGGAATGGTGCTCCTAATAAATGAATATATTTCCTTTGAAGTTTGGATCATGGCTCATGAATTAATTAGGGCATCTTTCGGAAACTTGACAGTATACTTCTATCTGTTATCTTATACGTGTTTGATAAAAAAATGTTAAAATATTAAAAATGTTAAAATATTAAAATATTAAAATAATCACTTTCCAAGCTTTTTCCAGTTGTCCGAAATCCTTTTTCTCAGCTGGAAAGTCCCGGATTTCCCAAAACATTTCTGCTCCTACAGACGGGCCATACGGAAGTTAAAAGAGTTGCTTTAAGAGGCTGCGACTTTTATGGAGAGCAGTGGGAACTAGAGACACAGAGCCTCCCATTTCCCTAAGGGGACTATTCCCCACCCCCACCCCGGCCCCATGACTGAAGAGGATTAAACCGATGTATTCAAGCCAGCTGAATGAATCCACCTTTCTAGCTACTCAATAGCTCTCCGGCTCAGTCTCAGAATAATCACATTAGTTGGGTCACTGAAAACTCTCCGGGTTTCTAAACAAAGAAAAAAAAAGAAGAAGAAGAAGTGACTGGAAAAAGCTTACGCCACCCAGGGAAGCTGAATACGTTAGGTTTTTTTTTTTTTTAAAGGATTTGACAAAAGAGGAAAAAAAACCCTTCTTGATTTTTAGACCCTGGATGGACTGGAAGATCTCGTGTGAAAAGGTTTTCTCAAGGGAAGCCCCACCATCACCATTTCAAAAATAAACAAACCTTTTTATTAAAAAAAAAAAAAAAAAGGCTGCCAGCACCAAGGGCACCCAGAAAGCTCAAATCATAATTGACAAATCTTAACAAGCCAGTATTCGAGGGTTGCTTTTGATAAGTTATCAACAGTAGAGACCTTCAAGTTTCTAGGTTCTACCATATCTCAAGACTTAAAATGGACGCCTAACATAAAAAACGTCATCAAAAAAGCACAGCAAAGGCTGTTCTTTCTGTGCCAACTCAGGAAGCTCAAACTACCCAAGGAGTTGCTGATCCAGTTCTACAGAGGAATTATTGAGTCTGTCATCTGCACCTCCATAACTGTCTGGTTTGGTTCTGCAACCCAACAAGACAGACACAGACTTCGGAGGATAATTAGAACTGCAGAAAAAACAATGGCTACCCACCTGCCTTCCATTGAGGGCCTGTATACTGCACAAGGCAAAAAGAGGGCTGTGAAAATATTTACAGACCCCTCGCATCCTAGACATAAACTGTTTCAACTCCTACCCTCAAAACGACACTATAGAGCACTGCACACCAGAACAACTAGACACAAAAACAGTTTTTTCCTGAATGCCATCACTCTGCTAAACAAATAATTCCCACAACACTGTCAAATTAACTACTAAAACTGTTTTACTATTCTTCTCATCCTTACTAGTACATACCTATCTCTTCCCACTTATGGCTATATCCATGTTGCTTGTACCTTTACAACTTATATTGTTTTTATTGTTTCCTAGTATGATTTGATTGCTTATTAGTATCCTATGACTATCACTAAGTGTTGTATCTTATGATTCTTGATGAATATATTTTATCTTTTCTTTTTATGTACACTGAGAGCATCTGCACCAAAGACAAATTTCTTGTGTAATCAATCACACTTGGCCAATAAAGAATTCTAATCTATTCATTCTTATTCTATTCTATTCTGTTCTGTTCTGTTCTGTTCTGTTCTATTCTTTCTTATTCCAATTCTTATTCCAATTCTTATTCCAATTCTTATTCCAATTCTTATTCTATTCTATTCTATTCTATTCTATTCTATTCTATTCTATTCTATTCATTCTTATTCCATTCCAAAATCAGAGAGCCTAAAAAACAGCGTTTCTCAAGCTTAGCTATTTTAAAGATGGGCGGACTTCAACTCCCAGAATTCCTCAGCCAGCAAGCTCAACAGGGCAATGTTGGCCCCTTCCAGTAACAGTGCAAGGCATTTTTCATAAATTTAGCTGCAACTCTTGGTTTCCCCCATCAGATATGATCAATTCTTGAGCTACTTTGCCATGTGTTTGTCTTGTTACATATTAGACCATTCAAAGTCACTAAACGAATGGTCACAAGGACCAGAATATGGATAATTTTTATTCATGATGCAATCGGATCCCTTTTTTCCCCCTCAGGAATTTAATTTTGGCGTCTTCTGGACAGGAGTGTGTTTCCAATATTCTTATCATTGGTTCGCTGCACGTACACTTCCGCGCATGCACTTTGCTCACTCGCGCGCCTTCCGTGCATACACCTGGCCTCAAAAATGTGCTTAAATAGGATGGCATAGAGCCGCGGTGAGTGGGCGGGCAATTTCTTTCTGTTACCGGTTCGCCTGAACTGGTACGAACCGGCTGAATACTACCTGTTTCTGGAAAAGGCCGATTTTGGGGTGGATCATAGAAAACAAAACAGTCACTTTGGGTTCAGTTACCTTAACAGGCCAGGCAGGGAGAGGCTGTAAGAAGGCGGCTTCATACGGATAGTCTACCATGGCCACGTAAATCCACGTCCCACTTAGCCATTCTCTGAAGTTGATGACATCTGTTGTGGTTTTCAAGGGGCTGCACAAACGAAATGTGTGGGAAAGCCACTGTAAACCTTTCTCTAAAAAGAAAAAAAATCCAGAAATTACAGTTTCTCTCTCTCTCTCTCTCTCTCTCTGTGTATATATTTAAACACACATATATATGTGTTTATACACACACACACACACACACATATATATATTAAGTGTTTTTCTATCGAGACACCTGGTCTACCCCAACATGTGGGAAGGGGCATTCTGTTCCCTTTTGCCTTTCAGCTCAAGTCCAGGAGCCCTCAAGCAGTCGCATTCACGACAAACCATTTTATACCAAATTTATATGCTGATGAAGAAATAAAGGGAGACTAGTATAGATTTATTTCAAGCTTTCATCAGCTAGCCATACCCTTACTCGGATTCGAACTTGGGCTTCCTGCATGTTAGGCAGTTGAATTAACCTTCTGAGCCACAAGTTCTCCTCCCTTCATCAGTTTGAGCCAGGGGAAAAATTAAGTGAAAGATTAAGCAGAATGTTGGGGTAGACCAGGTATCTCGATAGAAAAACACTTAATCTTTCTCCTGGCTCAAACTGATGAAGGGAGGAGAACTTGTGGCTCAGAAGGTTAATTCAACTGCCTAAACATGCAGGAAGCCCAAGTTCGAATCTGAGTAAGGGTATGGCTAGCTCAGGGGTGGGCAAATCAGGAATTCTGGGAGTTGAAGTCCACAGGTTGTAAAAGGACCACATTTGCCCACCCCTGGGCTAGCTGATGAAAGCTAAAAAGCTTGAAATAGATCTATACTAGTATCCCTTTATTTCTTTTATCAGCAAAATATATTTTTATCAAAAAAATCTTTATCAGCTGATAAAAAAATAAAGGGAGACTAGTATAGATCTATTTCACTCTCATCAGCTAGCCGTACCCTTACTCGGATTCGAACTTGGGCTGCCTGCATATTAGGCAGTTGTATTAACCTCTGAGTCACAAGTTCTCCTCCCTTTATCAGCTGATAATATATATATATATCCTAGTGGATGATCACTTGAATATGAGCCAGAAGTGTGCAGCAGCAGCCAAAAAAGCTAATACAATCCTGGGTTGAATAAACAGAGGCATAAAATCAAGATCACATGAAGTATTAGCACCGCTTTGTAAATCCCTAGTAAGGCCACACCTGGAGTACTGCAACCAATTTTGATCACCACACTGGAAAAAAAGAGGTTGAGACTTTGGAAAAAGTTCAGCGAAGAGCGACTAAGATAATCGAAGGCCTGGAGACTAAAACTTATGAAGAACAGCTGCAGGATTTGGGTCTGGCTAGTCTAAAGAAAAGAAGGATTAGGGGTGAAATGATAGCAGTATTCCAATATTTGAGTGGCTGCCACAGAAAAGAGGGGGTCAAATTATTCTCCAAAGCACCAGAGGGCAGGACGAGAAGCAATGGATGGAAACTAAGCAAAGAGAGAAGCAACCTGGAATTAAAGAAAAACTTCCTAACAGTGAGGACAATTAACCAGTGGAACAGCTTGCCCCCAGAAATCATGGATGTTCCATTACAGGATGTTTTCAAGAAGAAACCAGACAGTCATTTATCTGAAATGGTATAGGTCAGGGGGTCAGCAACCTGTGGCTCTGGAGCCGCATGCGGCTCTTTGGGCCCTCTGCTGTGGCTCCCTGTCAGGTGATCCCACCATTGGCTAGCCCCGCCCCTCACCCTCCTCTCCCAGTCACTCCTCGTCTGCCCGAGAAGGTAAGGGTGACGGTGGGGGATGGAGAAGCAGCCAGGATAGAGACAGAGAGATACAGAGAGAGGGGAGAGAGAGATAGAGAAATACAGAGAGAGATGGAGGGGGGGAAAGAGGGAGGGAGGAAGAGGAGAGAGAGAGAGAGATGTCAAAAGGATTTTGTGGTTCTCTGCCCTAATGACCGGCAGAGTAGGCGTGGCTACGAGGGGAGTCATGTGACTAATGGAAGTGAGTGACATTGAGTTGGCCACGCCCACCCAGACTTTGTGGCTCCCGGTCTTTTCTTTTCTGTGGGAAACGGGTCCAAATGGCTCTTTTGAGTATTTAAGGTTGCAGATCCCTGGCATAGGTTCTGCTTGAATAGGGGGCTGGATTAGAAGACCTCCAAGGTCCCTTCCAGCTCATTCTATTCTACACCAGAGTTACTCACTCTTGGCCACTTGAAGATGAATGGGCTTCAACACCCAGAATCCCCCAGCTTAGCAATTACTCGCTGTTAGCTTCCTACCTGTGTCAGCAATACGTTTAATGGCCGCCCAGGAATTTCGGATGGATTCCGAACAGCCAACCCCGCTTTTTTTGAAATCTTCGGTCACTATCTTATGAAAGGAACCACAGGGAACCAAGCTGTCGAACTGCCAAATGGGGGCCGATGCAGCCAGAGCTCTGCAACCGAAGAGACAAAATACAGGTAATACGCGATTTACAACAGTTCGCTTAGTGACGGTTTAAAGTTACAACGGCACTGAAAACAGGGACCGATGACCGTTTTTCACAATTATGACCGTTTGTCATGTTATTTACATTCAGATGCCTAAAGTCACTCAGCCGGCTTTCATGCCTAAGGCGGGATTAGAACTCACAGTCCCCTGGTGATTGGCCACATTTCACCCAGTCAGCTTTCATGCCTAAAACGGGATTAGAACTCCTGTTGATGGGCCCAAAGTCACCCAGCCAGCTTTCACACCTAAGGCGGGACTAGAACTCACAGTCTCCTCATGACTGGCCCAAAGTCACCCAACTGGCTTTCACACCTAAGGCGGACTAGAATTCACAGTCTCCTCGTGATTGGCCCAAAGTTACCCAACCAGCTTTTATGTCTAAGGCAGGATTACAACTCACAGTCTCCTCATGATTGGCCTCATTTCACCCAGTCAGCTTTCACACCTAAGGCGAGACTAGAACTCACAGTCTCCTCATGATTGGCCCAAAGTCACCCAGCCGGCTTTCACGCCAAGGCGGGACTAGAATTCACAGTGTCCTTATGATTGGCCCAAAGTCACCCAGCCGGCTTTCACGCCAAGGCGGGATTAGAATTCACAGTGTCGTTATGATTGGCCCAAAGTCACCCAGCCGGCTTTCACACCTAAGACGGGACTAGAACTCACAGTCTCCTCATGATTGGCCCAAAGTCACCCAGCCGGCTTTCACGCCTAAGGCGGGATTAGAATTCACAGTGTCCTCATGATTGGCCCAAATTCACCCAGCAGGCTTTCACGCCTAAGGCAGGACTAGAACTCACAGTCTCCTTATGATGGGCCCAAAGTCACCCAGCCGGCTTTCATGCCTAAGGCGGGATTAGAACTCACAGCCTTCCGCTTTCCAGCATCGTGACCGCTAAACTCTAAATCTAAGTAGTAATCAAAAGCAGTATTGATCGAAGTAGTAGTAATGAAAAACCACCAGCGGAGGAAGATGAAGCGAGATTCAGAAACTAGCTGGTTCCTCTGTGGTTCCACAGCAGAGAGTGCCAAGTTGCTCCAGACTTACCCAATTACTACGTGGGGGTACTTCATTCGGAACCAGGCAGCAAGCATTCCGCCATAAGACCCTCCTATGGCTATCACTGGAGTATTCTGCGTTCCAGGAATCGTATTTTTTAAGTGCTGGATAAGTACCGCAAAATCAGCCAGAGCTTGCTGCGAAGTCAAGTAATTCAAGTGCTTAGCATCCTGAAACGAGAGCACAAAACTTTTGTATGGCGCTCTTAGTATATTTACTCACCTTTCCTGCCCGTCAAAAGACTTGTGGACTTCAACTTCTGGGAGATTTTGATTTTGTTTGTCATGTCACAAAAAATGGGATCACGTGACCCCACAACTGTCATAGATATGAGTCAATTGCCGAGCATCTGAATTTTGTTTTTGTTTTTTCCGTGTTTTTTATTGTTTTATTTATATAACATTCAATTTCCATCCAACAGTGTGCGATCTGGGTACAGTTATTTTTAAACATTCATAGTCCCCATATTTGTTATAATATTCATCACGATAATATTAATAATATAATATAATAATACCGTGTTTTCCCCGAAAATAAGCCCTCCCCTGATAAGCCCTCCCCCTAAAATAAACCCTCCTCCGAAAATAAGCCCTCCCTGAAAATATTTAAACAGTCGGTCCCCGCCATTTCCTCTGGTTAGGGCAGGGGTCAGCAACCTGCGGCTCTGAAGCCACATGTGGCTCTTTCACCCCTCTGCTGCGGCCCCGTCACTCAAAATATGCGTCACAACCGCCAATGTGCGACACCCGCCGGTACGCAATTTATTGAGCTTTTCATGGTAGGCCAACCATGGATAAATCCAAGAAAAGAAAAGTCTCAGAAGAAAACAGAACCTTTAATTCAACTACATATGCTAGTTTTGTGGCCGCTCAAGAAATAGTCAGGCACGGGAAGGATTTTGTGGCTCCCGGTGTTTTCTTTTCTGTGGGAAACGGGTCCAAATGGCCCTTTGAGTGTTTAAAGTTGCAGACCCCTGGGTTAGGGTTAGGAAGACAGAGCTGGAAATCAGGTAAAACAGCTCCATGTGCCTCAAAATAATAAGACCTCCCTGAAAATAAGGTCAAGCGCTTATTTCAGGCTTCAAAAAAATATAAGACAGGGTCTTATTTTCGGGAAAAGATGGTATAATAACAATAATACTTAACATCGTCTTCTTTAACAATTCTCCACCACATTTCCTCTTTTTGTTTCTCCTCCTTTCTAACTTCGGTTTCTATTGTCTGGCCATTGATAGAATATATCACATATCAGAAAATATTCGGTTTCTTCTTTATCCTTAATAGCGAGCGTTAATCTGTCCATTTCTGCGCATTCTAATATTTTCTTAATAACATTTCCCTCAGACGGAATCTCATCATTTTTCCATTGTTGTGCAAATACGATTCTAGTTGCAATTAAGATATGCCAAGTGCAGTGGTGGGTTTCAAATTTTTTACTACCAGTTCTGTGGGTGTGGCTTGGTGGGCAGGGCAGGGGAAGGATACTGTAAAATCTCCATTCCCTCCCCAGTTCAGGGGAACGATACTATAAAATCTCCATTCCCTCCCCAGTTCAGGGGAAGGTTACAGCAAAATCCCCATTTCCTCCCAATCAGCTGGGACTTGGGAGGCAGAGAATAGATGGGGGTGGGCCAGTCAGAATTTTTACTACCGGTTCTCCGAACTACTCAAAATTTCTGCTACCAGTTCTCCAGAACTGGTCAGAACATGCTGAAGCCCACCTCTGGCCAAGCGTCTGAATTTTGATCACATGACAATGGGGAATGCTACAACGGTCATAAGCGTGAAAACTGGTCATACATCATTCTTTTCAGTGCCGTTGTAACCTTGAATGGTCACTAAATGAACTGTTGTAAGCCGAGGACTGCCTGTAGAGCCGAGTTCAACGTATGAGTAGTCAATCTGTGACTACTTTGAATTGGGAGTGATACTTACGGTGTATGACTTATTTCCGAACGGCAAGGATTCCCCGTAGTATCTGTGTTCGGCAAAAACCAGGATGGCATCCAATTCTTCGGCCACATTCCACATGAAACCCTGGAATGGAGCAAAGATCGTCATTTTTAAAAAAAAAAAAAAAATTCAGTAAAGAATAATCTTCAATCTTTCAAATGTATATACTGTAAAAAAAAGCCTGAAATATTTTAACAGGATATGAGATAGAAATAATGGAATAGGAATAGGAATAGAAAGAAAAGGAAAAAGGAAAAAGGAAAAGGAATGGAATGGAATGGGAATAGGAATAGGAGTAGGAATAGGAAAAGAAGGAAAAGGAAAAGGAAAAAGGAAAAGGAAAAGAATGAAATAGGAACAGGAATAGGAATAGGAAAAGAAGAAAAAGGAATAGAATGGAATAGGGATAGGGATAGGGATAGGGATAGGGATAGGATAGGATAGAATAGAATAGGGATAGAATAGGGATAGGAATAGAATAGAATAGATATAATAGAATAGAATAGAATAGAATAGAATAGAATAGAATAGAATAGAATAGAATAGAATTACTGTCACTTTGAATAAGAGGTGGTATTCAGCCGGTTTGGAGTAGTTTGCCCAAACCGTAGCGCCCCAGCTATAAGCCATCCTATTTAGGCACTTTTTGAAGCCAAGAGCATGTGCAAAGGCGCACGTGTGAGCAAAGAGTATGTGCGAAAGGCCGGGCGCATGTGCGGAAGGCGGGTGCGCGTGCAAACCGGATGCGTGTGAGCGGTGCACAAGCGGGGCAAACCAGTAGTAACATGTGAAACCCACAGCTGCTTTGAATGTACACTAATTGGCATACATTAACAATGAAATTTCTTAAAGGGTCACCACCTCCAATTTTACGCTACATCAACAAGACAAGATAAATATAAAATTATGCATATACCCCCATATATTATACGACACAGAGAAACAACCCAGTCTAGTTCTACATGTTTATGGCGAGAAAAACGAATCTTGTGTGAGTTTACCAGACGGATGGCATATAGGGAACAAAGCTGTTACAAAATCCGGAAGTCCTGTACCGTATTATTTGCAAACCAGGCGATGTCCCCTTCATTGCCAGTGTAGAAAAGGATTGAGCCGGCGTCTTTCTTCCAGTGCTGATCTGCGATGAGGTAGCGCTGTTTGAATGTGCGGTCTTCAGCAAAACCAAAGTGATCGATCTGAAACAACATGGGGATGGGGGGGGAAACCCTTAGAGAATACAAAATAACTGGGTTGGAAGGGATCTTGGAGGTCTTCTAGTCCAACCCACTGCTCAAGCATGAGACCCTAAACCCGTGATGGCGAACCTATAGCACACATGCCACATCAGTGGGCACCCGAGCTCAGCTCCGGCGCGCATGCACACTCTGGCCATCTGATTTTTGGGCCTTCTAGGCCCAACAGAAGTAGGGAAACAGGTTTTTTTTATTTATTTATTTGATTTGATTTATATGCCGCCCTTCTCCGGAGACTCAGGGCGGCTTACAATGCGTTAAGCAATAGCCTTCATACTTTTGTATATTTATACAAAGTCAGCTTATTGCCCCCACAAACTGGGTCCTCAATTTACCTACCTTCGAAAGGATGGAAGGCTGAGTCAACCTTGAGCTTGGCGGGATTCGATCTTACTTTAATTGCAGATAGCTGGTGTTAAATTGCAGAGCTCTGTCTGTTGAGCTATCCAGGCTCCGTTTCCTGCCTCCGGAGGGCATCGGGGGGGGAGCCCGTTTTTCACTCTCACCTGGCTCCAGAGCCTCTCTAGGAGTCTGAGGAGGCCGTTTTCGCCCTCCCCCCCCCCAAGGTCCTCCGGAGGCCGAAAACAGCCCATTTGCCAACTTCCGGTCCCACTGGAAGTTGGCAAAAGGGCTGTTTCTGGCCTCCAGAGGGATGGGGAAGGCCGTTTTCGCCCTCCCCAGACTCCTAGAGAGACTCTGGAGGCTGGGGACAGCAAAAAAACAGGCCTTCCGGTCACACCGGAAGTTGGCAAATGGACCGTTTCTGGCCTCTGGAGGGCCTCCGGGGGTGGGGAGGCCATTTTCCCCCTCCCCAGACTCCTAGAGAGGCTCTGGAGCCAGGTGAGAAAAACAGGCCTACCGGGCCATCGCGTGCCAGATGCGGGGGGGAGTGGGGGGGTGTCTCGCATATATGCGCAGGGCCGGGGCACATTAAATTATGGGTGTGGGCATGCACACGCGCAACCCTCTCCCACCTCCTGGCACGCGATGGCAAAAAGGTTAGCCATCACTGCCCTATACCATTCCAGACAAATGGCTGTCCAATGTCTTCTCAAAAACCTTTGGTGATGGAGCACCCACAACTTCTGGAGGTAAGCTGTTCCACTGATGAAACTGTTCACACTGACAGGAAATTTCTCCCCAATTCTACGTTGGATTTCTCTTTGGATAAGCTTCCATCCATTATTTCTTGTTCTGCTCCCCCCTCAAGTGCTTTGGAAAATAGATCGACCTCCCCTTTTCTTTGTCAAATATTGAAAGATTGCTATCATGTCACCCTTAGTCCTTCTTTTCATTAAAGGTAAAGGTAAAGGTTCCCCTCGCACATATCTGCTAGTTGTTCCCGACTCTAGGGGGCGGTGTTCATCTCCGTTTCAAAGCCGAAGAGTCAGCGCTGTCCGAAGATGTCTCCGTGGTCATGTGGCCGGCATGACTCCACGCCACAGGCACACAGAACGCTGTTACCTTCCCACCAAAGGTGGTCCCTCTTTTTCTACTTGCATTTTTTACCTGCTTTCGAACTGCTAGGTTGGCAGAAGCTGGGACAAGTGACGGGAGCTCACCCCGTTACGCAGCATTAGGGATTCGAACCGCTGAACTGCCGACCTTTCGATCGACAAGCTCAGCGTCTTAGCCGCTGAGCCACCGCGTCCCTTCATTAGACATACCCAGTTCCCACAACCATTCGTCGTATGCTTAGCCTCCAGTCCCCTAATCATCTTTGCTGCTTTTCTCTGAACTCTTTCTAAAGTTTCAACTTTTTTGTTGCATGGTGAGCAGAACTGGATGCAATATTCCAAGTGTCGTTTTTTTATCAAGGCATCATAAAATGGTACTAACACTTTGATTGTATCCCTCTTTTGATGCAGCCTAGGACTGTGTATCCTTCATGGACTTTATAAAAAGCAGAGAAAAAGGAAAAAAACTTATGGACGGAGGATGGTAATAATGTTCTTTCTGCATAAATGTTATTTAAAAGCATCTAGAAATTATTGCAATGTAGTAGCTGCCAAGGAAGCTAGCTGTGAAACTGGTGGCATATAAAAGCTTTTCCAGAAATAAACAAACACATTGGATGCAGAAGATGAAGTCTGGACAGGAGGAAAAAAGAAAAAGAGACAGCAGATGGAGCTATTAGGTAACGTAAATCTCTTTTATACCATGTTTTCACCTTATCCGAGTTTGCCAGACTTTAGAGTTAGAGCATCGGAAAACTCCAGGCTCTGGAGGCTGGGGACAGCAAAAAACGTCACTTCCTGTCCCACCAGGAGTCGAGAAATGGGCCCTTCCAGGCCTCCGGAGGGCCTCTGAGGGAGTGGGAAAGGCTATTTTCACCCTTCCCAGATGCATAGAGAGGATCTGGAGCCAGGTAAGAAAGAAAAATGGGCGTATCAGCCATTGCGTGCCAGAAGCGGCGGGTGGGGGGTTTGCGCGTGCATGCGCAGGGGGCACATAGAATTATGGGTGTGGGCACGCGCACGCGTGAACTTCCCCCACCCACCCCTCTCTTGGCACGCAATGGCAAAAAGGTTAGCCATCACTGGCATAGCTGATAATGATCATACATATTCTAATGTATCTTCCAGACCGTAAAGGAACGTCAAACCAATACAGATAGTCCTCAGGTTACGACCACAACTGAGCCCAAAATTTACATTTACTAAGTGAGAAATTTGGTAGGTGAGTTTCGCTCGCATTTTACAACTTCTTCTTGCCACTTTTTTGAAGTGAATCGCTGAAGTTGTTAAATTACTTGTTTCCCCCAAAAATAAGACCTACCCCAAAAAATAAGACCTAGTCTGGTTTTTTTAAAGCATGTGCCTAATAAAAGCCCTACCCCAAAAATAAGCCCTAGTGCTTATTTTGGTGCCCCCCCCTAAAATAAAAGACCGGGTCTTATTTTTGGGGAAACACGTATTAACATGGTTGTTAAGTGAATCAGGTTTCCACTGACTTGGCTTATAACAAGGTCATAAAAAAGGTGATCATGTGACCCCTGGGACACTGCAACGGTTGCAAATGTGAGTTAGCTGAAGGGAAAGGGAAGGAAAGGAAAGGAAAGAGAAGAGGGGAAAAGAAGGGAAGAGAAGGAAAGAAAAGTGGAAGGAAAGGAAAGGGAAGGGAAGGGAAAGGAAAAGGAAGGAAAGGGAAGGAAATGGAAGGAAAGGAAAGGAAAGGAAAGGGAAGGGAAAGAAAAGGAAGGAAAGGAAAGGAAAAGGAAGGAAAGGAAAGGGGAGGAAAGGGGAGGGGAGGGGAGAAAAGGAAAGGGGAAGGGAAGGGAAGGGAAGGGGAAGGAAATGAAATGAAAGGGAAGGGAAGGAGAAGGGAGGCAAGGAAAGGAAAGGGGAAGGAAACGGAAGGGAAGGGGAGGGGAGGGGAGGAAAGGAAAGGGGAAGGAAATGGAAGGGAAGGGAAGGGAAAGGAAGGGAAGGGAAGGAAATGGAAGGGAAGGAGAGGGGAGGAAAGGAAAGGGAAAGGAAAAGGAAAGGGAGAAACCGCTCCAAAAATGACTTTCCCCTTCACATAATCAAGAAACTAGCTTCTTAATACAGTGATTCGTGGCCTCTTTGATCTTTCCTCCAGGTGCTCAGGAAAGAGCAACCGGTTTTAACAGCCCAATAACAACTCAAACAAAAATAGCAGTTTCAAAACAGAACAAAACAAAAAAAGCAGAAGTGGAAAGGGAGTGAAAGCTGAAGTGCACAGCTCTGTGGGCAATATTCATCCCAGCTAGGAAGGCAGTAGCACCAGATGGCAAAAACTAGCTTCATTAACCCCCATGGAAAAAAAAACACAGGTTTGCAGGAGTCAGCCAAAAACGGAAAGAAAATTATCCTTCTAGATTAGGGGGGAAAAAACAAAACACAATTTATTTACTTCTTTACAAAAGATACAAGTACTCCACCACTTACCATCATTCATTTAGTTACCCATTCAAAGTTACAACGGCACTGAAAAGTGACTTATGACCATTTTCCCCACTTATGACCATTGCAGCATCTCCACGATCACGTAATTTACATTCGGATGCTTGATAACTGACTCGTATTTATGACGGTTGCAGTGTTCCGGGGTCATTTTGTGACCTCCTGACAAGCAAAGTCAACCGAGAAGCCAGATTCATTCAACAACCGTGTCACTAAATACATGTTAGTAACATGCAGTTGAGCTGCCTGATCGTCAGAGTCTTTTTTTAAAAAAAAAAACTTTTAAAAGCATTTTTTCTACAACCTATTCAGCAGAGTTGGCAGCGGAGTTGGACAGTGAGGAGGCTGGGGAGGAACATGGGCCAGTCCTGGAGTCTGGAAAGGCTCGGATGAGGGCTCTGCGTCGGAGGCAGAGATGGGGCCAGGGCCATCTGGGAGTTATGTGCTAACTCCGGAGCCTCCAGTGTTTGATGTCAGAGAGGCAGAGGAACAGGGAGAGCCTGTTCCTAGTGCGCGCATGCGCAGAGCTGCCAGAAGGCAAGAACAGTTAAGACAAAAGGGGTGACTCGGGAGTAAGGCTTGGAGATGATTGGCCCCTCCCATAAGACATAAAGGAGGAGCAAAGGCACCTGAGCCTTTGTAGGAAGCAACGTTGTTGATGCTGGCCAGTTTGTATTCTGAAGCTCTGTTTTGACTCTGTGCTTCGTGTGTCCTTGCAAAGCTAATTGCCAATTAGGTCTTTGGCAGCATGTCAAGGGAGATAAAGGTGGGTGCTTATCAGCCTTATCCCAAAGGGCTGTGGCAGATGTCTGTCGGACTCTTTACAAACAGGCTCAGGCTCAACCCATCCAAGACCGAGTGGCTGTGGTTTCCGACGTCCTGATATAGTCAGCTGGTGCCATCGCTGACTATTGGGGGCGAATCATTGGCCCCCACGGAAAGGGCTCGCAACTTGGGCGTCCTCCTGGACTCACGGCTGTCTTTAGAAGAGCACTTGACGGCCGTGACCGGGAAGAT